ATTGTTCGACCCTGCCTGTGTTTCTGACCTCTCTGCTTTATAAAGTTTGCACATGGATCCGCATGTTTCATGTCTTGTCAGCCCCGTAACAACTTTAATATGTGACAGTTAGGATTCATCCAGGTATGTATAAAGAGTATTTTTGCCATTGTTTAGTAGGTTGTGATTCATTCTATATAATTATGTAATTTAAAAAAATGTACTGTGGCTCAGTTTGTGTAGTGTAGACCCTGTTCCATGTTTTGTGTGTGTTCTGCTTCCTATGTTTTTATTTGGTTCTTCCTGTTCCTGTTCCCTGATTAGGTTTATTTGTCCCAGGTGTTTCCAATGTTTATTTTGTCATTGATTTCAGGTGTTCCTCTTTGTGTCCCTCCTCTAGTCCTGTATTTAATGGTTTCCTGTTTTGAGTTTGTGGTCCTGTAGTGTACGTCAATCCCCGTGTCTACGTGTTTATTCTGGCTTTTCTTTCGTCTCCTCGCCCCTTCTCAGTAGGCACATCGTGACAGAATACCAGACCTAAAACAAAAAGTAAGTGGCGCCCCTTCTCCCCGTTTTATTTCCATCTTTGAAAGTCTTTTGTTTTCTTGCCTTTTTCCCCGCAATCATGGAAATTGCTGCTTGTTTTGCTCCCATAGCCCGCAGAGATCTCCCCTTCGTGGCGTATGCTTGGGAGTTCTGCGGGCTTGCCGCGGTGACGGCGTTGGCCTCTTTGTGTCCCTCCTCTAGTCCTGTATGTTATGGTTTCCAGTTTTGAGTTCTCGACCATGCAGAAGTGCTTTATCAGAAGATCTTTAAGATCTGCTAGATGAGTGAGGGAGGATAATCTTTAAAGTGATCTTTAATATATGATGGGGCCGGATCATTGATCAACAAACAAAAGTTTTAAACTAGATTGTAGAATTAATCGGACGCCAGTGAAGTGATATGATCTTAGATCATAAGATCGATGATTGAGGACGAATAAGATGTATATACTGAACAAAATTATAAACGCAACACTTTTGTTTTTGCCCCCATTTTTCATGAGCTGAACTCAAAGATCTAAGAATTTTTCTATGTACACAAAAGGCCTGTTTCTCTCAAATATTGTTCACAAATCTGTCTAAATCTGTGTAGCGTCTGGACCAATCAAAAACACAATTTTTCATTTGATTTAACAAATCAGTTATTCATTAGATTAACAAGTCGTCACAGACCCCTCACCCAATAGACTGGGCGCCAGGATGTCTGCGAATGACCACAGGCCACTGGTTACCATGGCAACCGCGACACCTTTGCTAGACCAGAGCCATTTACGACCTAATGGAATGTGAGTAGGGAAAATCACTGCCTTTTCCATAGGAAGAGACACAGTGCACAGTAGAAATTGACTCTTTTCTAATTAATCCATAGGAAAACCTTTCTTTGAATGAACACACATATTCTTCAGGTCATTGTGTATGTTGTCTGAAATTTTATACCGTTTTATGCAGGCTTATAATGGAAACACTAATTCCTGTCATCTTACCTATATGTAATCCTACCATGTTTAGTATCTATGAATTCGCCTTCTGATGATCTAAACGAGAGTGTATATTATATGTTGGTACACAGGCAATATATTAGTGTCCTGAGAATCTTTAGTAATTTCGATTTCAAGTTCCATTTGCAAATAACCATGCCCTCACACAAAGGGTCATAAAACCCTCCCGCAATTGGAACCTCCCGCTTGGAATTTCAGCCTCTCTCATTGGACAAGCTATCTTGAGAGGCGTGAATCTTCTCCGACCTTAAAGGCCTCACACCAGGGACCTGCCCGGAGTCGGTGGTTCGGTTAGATTCTAAGATGAAGACATGAGCTAGAACGCTTCTGCAACCCCCTAAGTACGTGCCAGGCTTCGGCCTTGACTTTTCCATTCACCAAGATTCTCTGACTCAAACTGGTTCTTTTTCATCAACCAACTTCAGCAAAGATCAACTTGGACCTTCAGATTGCATCAAACCTCTCTTTCAGACAGATGAGACGTGCAAGTATTCAAACGCAGTCTTATTAATTGATACATTAGGTATCATTTGCACCTTTTTACAAAGGTGTGTTTGAACTAAGAATCTGATGTGTCCTTCAGGCGGTAGATCTGCTGAATATCAAATGGTACCATAGCTTCATATTCTTATTTCTCTTTACTGCGTTAAGCTTTAACCCTTTCCTATACCAACTGTATGCGTGTGCGTGTGTGTATGTGTATGTTAGACCAGTTTAAGGGTTTATGTAGTATGTTAGACTAGTTTAAGTGTTTATGTAGTTAATAAAGTCTTACTTGTATCACACTTGACGTTGTTCATTGTTTGCTCATAACTGGAGTCACTTAATCATGCAGATTTATGCTACAAGCTCTGTGTAGAATTGTACAGTAAGAAAGTTATTTCCCTTAACCAGGAAATTAACGTTCTTAGAATTGACAGACAGTTGACCCTGAGAGGTCAAGTAAATATCTACAGCGGATCTAAATATTTATAATTAATTAAAACTAGTTATGATTAATTATTCATATTTCCCCATGAGCTGATTCGCTACGTCTGTGTTAGTGAGCACTTCGCCTTTGCCGAGATAATCCATCCACCTCACAGGTGTGGCATATCAAGATGCTGATTAGACAGCATGATTATTGCACAGGTGTGCCTTAGGCTGGCCACAATAAAAGGCCACTCTAAAATGTGCAGAACTTAAATTGAGTTGAAATGTGAAATTACCTCAGATCTTCTTGTCCTGCAGCTGTGAGTCTGTAAACGACGATGACATCTGTTAAAGATCTGCTAGTGAACTCACTGAAGGACCTGGTAAAAGATGAACTGGAGGAGTTTCAGTGGCACTTAGAGAAAGATCATGTGTGTATATCAAAATCTGACATGAAGGATGCAAATAGGTTAAAAACAGTGGATAAGATGGTGGCATGTTTTGGACCAGAAGAAGCTGTGAAGATCACGGTGGACATCCTGAGGAAAATGAACCAGAATGATTTGGCTAAACAGTTGGAGAATGAATACAAGAAAGGTAATGTTTAATTCACTGTGACTGTATCATAATTGTCTGTTTAGCGGTGTGATGGTTTGACAAACTTTCCTCTTTGGTGATGTAATTGTGTGATTTATGTTTCTCAGTGAGTATCTCTCTCACAGCTCAGGCTGAAGGCAATATGAACACATCTGTTCCTGTTGGAGCTGATTCAGGTCAGATCTGGAGTAAATAACAGTTGCTTTCTGTAAATGGAAACAAGAGAAAATATAACTGCAAGCAGCAATTACAGGGCCAATCACATCAGCGGCAGATCTTGTAAAAATATAATGAATAGAACCGAATGTTTCTCCAGTGATATCCAGTTCACAATAGTCTAAAAACATATTGTGATACAGATGTTTATTAAAGTTGACCAATATGTGGCACTGTCACCAAATTCATTGGGTGTCATCAAGGCATGATTACAATCACACATGGAAAGGTTGATTTAAGCAGGTCAAAACATGTTGTAAATACAGCCTCATAAACTGATTGATGTGCTAGATGATGTGGAAACCATTCATTAGCTTTTAGTAACATTGATTCAGATCATCGTTCGGCCATGTTGACTCATAAGTTATCTGGAAAGAGCATTTTTAAAAAAACATATTCAGAAATTGAAAAATGTAAATGTTTTTAGGGATGGACTGTGCTGTTTTTAGCTGTATGAATTTAATCCGTGTGCATCAGATCATGCCGATATGAAAAATATTATATTTGTCAAATTTATAAAAAAAAAAAGTTGTCAATCTTATTTGTTTTTAATTATAGAGCTACAAAACTTCTTGAAAACTCACAAAAACAACATGAAGAAGAAAGCTAAATATATTTTTGAGGGCAACAACGAAAATGACGCAGATCTCAAGACTGTTTACACAGAGCTGTTCATCACAGAGGGAGATATGAAAGATGTCAATCACGAACATGAGATTCTGAAGATTGATGATGCTTTCAGGAACAAAAAAACACAGGACAAACTAATCAAATGCAATGATATATTCACTGAACTGAGGAAAAACAATGAGGAGAAAATAGTGCTGACCAAGGGAGTCGCTGGCATCGGGAAAACTGTCTCTGTGCACAAGTTCATCCTGGACTGGGCAGAAGAAAACACCAATCAGGAAATAGAGTGTGTGTTCCTGCTTCCATTCAGAGAGATCAACGTGATTAAAGATAAAGAGGTCAATCTCCATGAGATTCTCATTAAATTTTATCCTGAATTGAAGGAACTGGAGAAATCAAAGTTATATAAGGAAAGTAAGCTAGCGTTTATATTTGATGGACTTGATGAGAGTCGACTGCCATTGAACTTTAAAAGCGACACACTGGACACTGTTGAGGAAAGAGCATCTGTAGATGTGCTGTTCACAAG